AAAATAAGGTAATTATTAAGTACATAAAATATTAATTCTCTACCTGGAGGTGGTCTGCGTGGCCATTCAGCACAGTTGTCATTTGGTCTTCGATCATAATAGTGCTTGCATGATTTATGAGTGCCATAACAACACAAATAGAAAGGCCCAATGTCATTCAACATATGACCTACAAATAATGATATTTTAAACAATTCTGATTTAAAAACCATTACCAATGGTTGATCTCCAATTATTAGGATATACACTGTAAGCAGATCCTCCACCAATACCAGTTAATAACTGACCATCACTGTCATAACAGCACTGCTGGCTGTTGCTAAAAGATCTGTACAAAACCATTAGTTCTACAATACTACAATATAGATCTAACCCACCCAACATCTGATTGTCTGTAGCAGCTTGCTGCTTTAGTCTTTCTGAAAAAGTTTTTGCTTTGATAAAATTGATGTGGTCTCTCTTTAGTATAACGGTCTAGATCACTATTCATTTGTGCTAGGTTACAGGGGCAAGGTGGTAATCTGTTATTGTTCACACCGCCATCTGTCTTCTGCCAAATACTACAAGCTACTCTTTTTAATATATCAGATACAACAACTTTAATAATAAATGTTAACTTGAAGCGTGATATTTTTCCTAGTGCAGATGAAGGAAAAGTTAACTCCTGTCCATTTACATTGGCAGTGCTTAAGGACACTTTGATAAGACTTAATCGTAGCAAAGTTTGATCAACAACTTGGTATTCTGGTATTGTGATTTCAGCTATACCGGTATTAGGAACTGAAGTCTTCAGTGGTATATCAGTCTCCCATGTCTCTGTATCAGGATTATATAATCTCTGCAACATGATAGCTATAATAGGATATGACAATAGATTGGGCATACCATTGCAATATCAACTATACTGTCTCCTGATAAAATATCTTCAGTGAGGTGGTTTGATGTCCATGTGATGTTCACTGTTTCTCCAGTTTTGAACACAGTCTGGGAACTTGTTATTTGAATATCTTCCATAGTGTCACTCATAGATGGAACAACTATAATTAATTAATATTGTCTCACTATAATTGAACAATACTTACTGTATCTATATTTAGTACTTCCTGTTAACACAGCAGGTCCCCTCGTTATATTAATAATTAGTTCAACAAGACCATCATTATATTGCTCTGGTGATATGCATAGACACTTTTCTCCACTGATATAGTAACCCTTTGTCACTATATCACCAAATATACAGTTAATTGTGTCCTCTGACTTAAAATCTGGTCCTGTAATGAACACTTGTTCTCCTCCAAATACTTTGCCAATAGTTCTACTAGCATACACTGGGAATGATCCTATTACAACACCATTAGATACATCATAAGATCATATGCACATGCATGATAAGTCATATACCTTGACACTTGACTCCTGCTTCATTACGCCTTCCACAATTTTTGACAGAGTAAGTTCCCCTAGTGCAGTCTAGTAGTCTGAATTCAGAGCCAGTACACTGAAGGTCAGATACAAGGACTGGTTTAAGACTTTGACCGTAATATGAACCATAACGAGGTACTGCTCCTACAATTGAAACAAGCTATGAAGTACATGTTTGATAGATTGATTTAATATTTTAACTGTATCATCAAGTATATCGGTAGACTAGATAGAACATAGTGTGTTATTGGCTCTGTTCTTATTGTTGGCTTTATATATTATTTATAAAATTATGATTGACAGCATTATTGGATTGGTTTTAGTCAAATTTGATTGAAACAAAAACTTCTATGGTTATAACAGCAATTTATGATTCAATGGCTAAAAGATTACTCCACTTTATTATGATGAAAATTAAATCTTATAAAATGAATATTTTTGATGGGTACTGCTATTTCATTGAGGTGTCTCTATTTGTGCAACAAATTTGTGCTCTATCTATGTAAAATAATATTATATGTAATTCACTAACCTGATGGATAGTATCCTAGTTGATCACAGACCACATTTGCATCATTAGTACTCCACCCATCATCACAAACACTTCCCCAGGCTCTGTTAACACACACTTCCACTCTCCCTTGTGTCTTAGGAAAACCAGCAGGTGCAGCTAGTCTAATTGCACCAGCAGTACAATCAGCATAAGTAATACCACTTGCTAAATTAGAAAAATAATTTTGACATAATTACACTCTATATACCTTCTTGGCATATGACACCAGCATCATTTGATTCACAGATTGATTCTAGTCCACCATATGTAATGTTGCAGCTGTGAATTGTATGTTCTTCTCCAGTGCAATTAAGAGAGACAACATTAGTTGGTATTGATGTAGTGCTTGGACCATGAGAAACAGCAATAGCACCTAGTTATTTTTAAAATGCTAACATAAATTTTAAAATTGATTACCAAATGGAGAGAATCCCTTTTGATTACAGACAACTGAAGCTTCAGTATTAGTCCATGATGAGTCACAAATTGTACTCCATGTCTCATTAACACATAAATCAACTCTACCATATGATGGAGGGGAACTAGTATCACCAACAATACGAATGTCTCCATCAGTACATAATTCTATTATTTACAATAAATTTTAATATGATAAAGAAATCACCTTCACACTTGACTCCAGCTAGCATAGAGTTGCGACAGTTAGAAAGATAATATAGGTTTTTATTACAGTCCAACAAAGAGTCTTCCATCCCTGTACATTCTAATCTAGTCAACAGAATAGGCAGATTACTTGAACAAGAGCTGAAACTGTTATCTGGTACTGATCCTAATGATATCACAAAATGAAAAAAATTAAGTACCACTAGCATACCAGAGCCTTGATATCCTGCCTTTTTACATGCTACATTAGAATCTTCTACAGTCCAACCATCATCACAGACAGTTCCCCAAACATTGTTAATGCATACTTCAACTCTTCCTTCAATTGGAGCGGTACCACCAATCAGCCTAATATCACCAGTAGTACAACTGGAATATGAAGTTTGTGAAACTGAAGAATAAAGTTAGTAATAGTTTATAATAACAAATAAACAATTAATTGTTACTTTGACAAACTACTCCAGCTTTGTGTTGTTCACATTGTTCATATGATACTTCCTGTGTCTGGTATATTAAACAGTCAAAAATTCCACTTTCATTGCCCTGACACTGGCTACCAAACAATCTCATGGGATAGTCACTGTATTTAATTAAACCATTAACTGCAATAGAACCTGAAATAAGGTATTGAAATTAATTAAAAATACACATTTATTTATACCATATGGTGAGAAACCTAATTGTCTGCAGATTACAGTAGCATCATTGTCATCCCAATCTTCTCCACACACTGTACTCCAGACTCCTCTAATGCACACTTCAACTTCACCAATAAGATGACTACTAGTTCCTTGCAAACGTACAGACCCATGAGTACAGCTTCCTATTCTCACAATAACAATTACTTCATTAAATAACTGGCTAACCAATACAGTGAACTCCAGCAACTTCATGACTCTGACAGTTTATTGATGAGCCAGAAGTTGTGTGCCTTGAACAATCTAACAATGATTCCTCTGATCCTGAACAAGATAAGGCTCCAATCACAAATGAAGGATTGTCACTGACACTGAAATAGTTATTAGTAAAAGATTGTGATCCTGTAAAAAATAGCAGTAAGATGTTAGTGTTATAATTAGTATTTTTACCAAAAGGTTGTAGTCCTAATTGATAGCATACCACATTACTGTCACTAGAGTCCCATTGGTTATCACATACTGATCCCCATGCATTATTGTAGCATATTTGTACATTGCCTTCATTCATTACGTCACCTCCAACAAGTCTAACATCACCATTAGTACAATTAATATATTGTGTATTATTAGCTACAAAATAAATTAATTTAAAAGCAACAACATCAATTTTACTTACCCATGCAGAATACTGACGCATCAGTGTCTTGTGAGCAATAAAGTCCATCCATATTACCATTTGTTTGATGCATACACCTCCATATGTCTGATTCATCTCCAGTACAGTTTAGCTCATATATACCAATAGGCCACACATAATCAATGAATACACCATGTGTAGCCACTGCACCTAAATTATGTAAAATTTGTGATTTATATTAGTAGGACTTCTGTGTTTAATTTACCATAGCATGAGTATCCTAGCTGAGAGCAAATTACAGTAGCCTCTTTATCAGTCCAATAGCTAGCACAGATTGTAGTCCATGTGTTATTAATACACACTTCAACTCTTCCCCTTAGGACAGCATCATCACCTAATCTAATCTCACCATCAGTACAATTACCTATTATAAATTAAAACAACATATATATAGTTAGTGTTTTTTTACTTACGTTCACAGGTGACCCCGGCATCATTATGATGAGAGCAAGTAGTGGCATCACATGATCTTGTCTTACACTCTATTAATGATTCCTCATTACCAGTACAATCAACACTAGCCATCAGTATTGGACCAACTCCTGGACCAAAATGATCACTACTAGATCTTACTATTCCACCTATATAAGAATAATAGTGTATGGTACTAATCCCATCATTATACAAACCCATCGATAGATATCCTAATTGTTTACAGACTACATTAGCATCAGTATTACTCCAGCCATTAGAACAGACAGTACCCCATGCTTCATTAATACACACTTCAACTCTTCCTTCATGAGGACCACTACCATCAACCAATCTCACCTCACCATCAGCACAGTTAGACTGTTGCACATTTTCTGTAAGTACAACCATTTTATCTGAAATATGTCTCATAATATAAATACCTTGACAAACTAAGCCAGCATCATTATGTGACTTGCAGTTATATAAATATGGACTGCTGTGTGTACAGTTAAAAATATGATCTTCTGACCCAGTACAACCAAGATTAGTAATACCAAATGAAAGTTGTCCCTCAGTATAGCAATTGTATGTTGGTATAGCACCTAATTATTAACATGAACTAATATATATACTGGTAATCTAACTGCATTAACCATATGAAGAGTATCCAAGTTGTCTACAAGTCACTGCAGCATCATTAAAGTCCCATGTTTGATCACACAGTGTAGTCCATGTTCTTTCAACACACAGTTCAACACGACCAGCATATGTCACTGATGATCCACTCAGTCTTACGTCACCATCATTACAGGCTTCTGTTGTCATTAATTAAAGATGATTTATACCTGGTAATACTTACCTAAACATATAACACCTCCTACTTTAGTTACACTACAGTAAGTTATGATATTCTTATGCTGAAAAAGTTTATTACAATCTGTTAGTAAAGTGTGACTACTCAAACAAGAGAAAGCTCTCATAAAAAATGGAGCCTGGCCTTGTCCATAGTAACTGCCACCTACAGCTTTTGATCCTACATTGTAAAGTAGATAATTAAAAACTATTTTAGCCATCAGATACCTATTATCTGATGACCAAGCTGCTTGCAAATAACACTTGCTTCAATTGCACGTAAGTAATAATCACAAAGAGTTCCCCACATTTGATTATAGCATAATTCAACTCTTCCTTCATATTCATTGGGACCACCAACTAATCTAACATCACCAGTTGTACACGAAGTATCAACAGTAACATTATTGGCTAGAATAGGTATTACAACTAACTTATAATTTCAGCTTACTCTGACATATCACAGATGCATCATAATGACAATTTTGGGTAGTGTTATCAAAAGAGCATTCCCAGATATTTGATTCAATTCCAATACAGTTCAAACCAAAAAAATGTACAGGATCATTGTAAGAATAATAACCATTACCATCAAGAATAGATAAAGCACCTGTCGGTAAAAATTAATGAAAGACATTTAAAGAATTTTTGTAACCATATCGTAAGAATCCTAATTGAGCACAAACCACACTAGCATCAGCATCATCAAAGCCAGTGTTACAGATAGTCCCCCAAACACCATTCACACATACATTAATCATACCAATAGAACTATATCCTGAACCTGATAGCTTAATGTCACCATGAATACATTTGTCTGTAAGAATGTAAACAAACTTTAAAAATAAACCATGAATACCTTGACAAGTTACTCCAAAATATTTATAGTTATTAGAGGAATAACTACTGTAACAGTTGATAGCTCCTTTTGAACAATTCAACAAAAAGCCCATGATGCTAGAGCAGTAGAACTCAAAGGGAAATAATGGAAGAACTTGTAAATCCAAAAATGAACTAGAATATCCTGTAGCACCTAGAAAAAGAATTATAATACTAAAGTAGTGTGATTATTTTGTGCTTGCTTTGTGAATGACCCATTGAGTTACAAACAGTTCCAGTGTAATAATAATTATTATAATTATCACCACATATTCCAAACCAAACATGGTTGTAGCACAATTCAACTCTTCCTTGCATTTTGCTAGTTTCATTTGATAATCGTATCTGACCATTTGCACAATCAGAATACTCCACAGCAAAACCTGTGATTGAGTAATATTTATACATATTATGTTTATATGCTACCATGACAAGCAACTGATACATCAGTGTATACAGTGCAGGATTCCTGTCCTTGTGTACTTGAGGGGCAATCCCATATACTCTCTTCATTACCAGTACAATTAAGATTAACAATGTGAAGGGGAATGCCATTATTATAACGGACTCTTCCCATTGAAACTGACCCTAGATTATAGCAATCAATGCTATAACAAGAAATATATGCACATACAGTATACCTAATGCAGTGTATCCTAAATGTCTACAGACAACTTGAGCATCATTGTCAGTAAAATGATGATAGCATATACTACCCCAAGTACCATCAACACAAACTTCAACACGTCCAATATCTTCAGAATAAGAATTATAAGGTATCAGTCTAACACTACCTTCAGTACAATCTTGAAAAATAATAATCAAAATTAAATAAAATTAATATTGATCATACTGTGGCATCTAACTGCTGCAGTGTGTCTAGCATCACAATAAGATAGCTTAGTGTAATGTGTTAGACTGCATTGCTTAATACTAGTAGCAGATTGAGAGCAACTCATATCAGCCACCAATAAAATATCTACACTAGGAGACTCAGCAAAATAAGTTATTCCATTACCTATAATAATAGTTATACTAATTCAAACTAAATTGCTTAGATTTCAACTAACCATTATTGTAGCCAAGGTCTTGACAGATTAAGTTAGCATTTACACCATAACGATGTCCAAAGCAAAATGTACCCCAGACCCTATTCAGACATATTTGAACTTTTCCTTGATTTGCAATGGCTCCATCAACCAAGCGAACTGCATAATCAGTACAGTTATCATGTGTAATACTCACACCTAAATTTTCTTTTAAAATAATCCATATTTTAAAACCTAACCTTGACAAATAGCACCAGCATCTTGAGTGTTATAGCAAGACCCAGTAGTTGAGTATGAACAGTTAAGCAGTGTACTTTCATTACCACTACAATTCACACTGTAAAGATGAAAAGGTAACCAGTTCTCAGTAAAATATGAAGTTTTAGCTATAGCTCCTATATATTATTAATAAATTTAAGGAAAGCATACAGTAATGTTAACCGTAAGAAGAGTATCCTAGCTGTCTACATACTACACTGGCATCATTATTATCCCAACCATTGTCACAAATGGTGCCCCAAGTTCCATTAATACATACTTCAACTCGACCAAATTCTTTATATCTATCATCACCTTCTAATCGAACAGCTCCCTCAATACAAGGAGCTAAGTATAATAGACTCTACTAAAAAAAACAAACACAGGTTAAACTTACATTCACATTCAACTCCAGCATGGTATAAATAGTAACAGAAAGAAGTGTAATAACTACAGTTTAAAAGAGTAGCTTCACTTCCAGTGCAGCTAAAATATGATGAATGCACGGGACCAAAACCTTTTCCAAAATTAACAGTCTCAGCACCTAAAGGTTAGCAATATTATATAGCCTATTCCCTCAATGGGCAACTAACCAATAGAAGTAAATCCTAACTGTCTACATACAACTTGTGCCTCACGAGTATCCCATCCTCTAGGACATATTGATTTCCAAACTCCTCCATAGCATATCTCAACTAAACCAACATACTGGGACTGACCACTTGTTAATCTAACTTGACCAGTAGTGCAATTGGTAGTATTAGTGAGTGCTATTAAATTCAATATATTCATGCATCATATTAGAAGGCAGAATGCTGATACCTGTACATTGTACATTTGCATCTTCATGCTGACTACAGCTGTACTGCTGAAGAAGATTATGAGGGCAGTCAAACACGTTTTCTTCAGTTCCATTGCAGTGCAAGTCGATAATGTGAAATGATTTGAGCTTTTCTGTGTATGAAGTATATCTAGCTATAGCACCTATTATCTATTGATGATGATGCATAATTAAGTTATACAGGTTACCTTCGGCAGAAAAACCAACTTGTCTACATACAACACTAGCATCATTGTCATCCCAATAATCATCACATATAGTACCCCAGGTCTTATTAACACATAGCTCCACTCTTCCCACCAATGGATCAGTACCGCCAACTAGTCTGATGTCACCATTTTCACAAGGAACTGTATATAATCATAAGAAAAAGTCAGAAACAGGTAAAACCTTTACCTTCACACCTTACACCAGCATCATACCCATGATTAATGCCTGGAATGTACTGTGGTTGTGAGTAACAATTAAGCAATGAATTCAATGGTAAATAGCAGTGTGTATATATTAATATAGGACCACTTCCTTCACCAAATTGTGAGGTAGAAAAATATGTAGCACCTATATAGTTTGCCAACCATAAAACTAATAAGTATGTAGCAGTATCAAACATACCAGGAGAACTAAAACCTAAAGCATTGCATACTGTCTGAGCAAAATATGATGAATAGTAAGAGTGAGAGTTGTAAACAGTTCCCCATGCATCATTAATGCAGACTTCAACTCTTCCTTCATATTCTGTGCTACCACCAACCAATCTAATATCACCATCAGTGCAATTAGAATAGGTTGAAACACCATGAGCTACAAATATTACATTATTCATTGATGAATTTAGTGTATGCTAGTTTATATACCTGGACATACAACATTAGCATCAGCCAAATTTGAACAAACAGGAGCATTAGCATCAACTTGACAGTCAAAGATGTTTTCTTCAGTTCCATTACAATTTAAACCAGTTAACAAAGTTTTTTTATGCCTTTCATAATTCCATGAAGAAGTGACAGGAATTGAACCTATAATTTGTTTGTAAATTATGTATAATGGTTGATAATTAATTTTTAATTTTTGTACAAAACATGCATGAACATGATCATTGCTCATAAACAAGATAAAGTTGATACCGTAGGGAGAGAATCCTAGCTGCCTACAAACAACACTAGCATCATTATTATTCCAATAGCTATCTCTGCAGATAGTCCCCCATACTCCTTCAACACAAACTTCAACACGACCATAATAGTATCCGCCACCAACAAGACGTATGTTACCAGATGTACAATTTGCTAATGACATGTACAGTATCAGCAAAATCATGATAATATTGTTAGACTAACTTTCACAGTTTAATTCAATGGCATTGTTAGTACAATACTGAATACTAGAATGAAGTCCAGAGCCACAAGACAAAAGTGTTGCTTCATTACCCTGACAATTGAAATAAGAATAAATAATAGGAAACATTCCACTAGTGATCCTTCTGGAAAAAGAATTATCTACAAAATTTTATCATAATGCACACTTTCATTATTGAAACAAACCATAGTTGTAGTACCCCAACTGAAAGCAAGCAACATCAGTTTCAATGTTATTCCAATAGTTATTACTGCAGACAGTTCCCCAGATTCCATTACTACACACATGAAGTGCTCCTTGGTTAGGTGTAGACCCACCATACAGTCTAATATCACCATCTGTACAGTTAGCTGGAATATAATTATCTAAGATAAAATTAAATTAATGTACATTCTTTTAAATCATATAGGTCTACCATTAAGTATGCAAAAGACAGCTACTGCCCCATAGTTCACATTAGGACATGATCCTGTAGTGTTATACTGACAGTCAAATAAGCTGCTCTCATTTCCATAACACTGTACATCATAAAACTGATATGGATAGTAATAATTCTTTTTCCACAGTCCTATAGCACTTTTAGCACCTACACAAATGCATTACTAATAGGAAGGTAAATTAAGATATTTTACCATAAGCTGAGTATCCAATGCTGGAACAGACAACACTAGCTAGATTATTATCAATGACAGTATTACCGTATCCACACACCATAACCCATAAACCATTGACACAGACTCTTACATTACCATGACAATTAGAAGGGCCACCATATAGTTCTATTTTATTTTCAACACAAGAATCTTTAATGATAGGAGGATAAATGAATTAAGCCAAATTTATCATGTTTTGTATTCTTACATTCACATCTGATACTTAATTCTTTGTAATGGTTACACCACCACCACCTTTCATATGGAAATATTCTTTGGTAACAATTACTTAAATTTGTTCTCAAAGCATCACAATACATCTCATAAATTATCATTGGATTATCGCTAATACCAAAGTAAGAATTAGGAAGCGTTTTACCACCTATGCATATCAACAAAAGTATTAATAAAAAATATTATTATCAGATACCTTGCTGATATCCTAATTCGTGGCAAACAGCATAAGCACTTTTAGCAGCTCTATATTCATTATAATATGCTCTACAAATTGAACTCCAAACTCCATTTATACACAATTCAACTCTTCCTTCATTCTCTGTCAAGCCATCAGCTAATCTCACTTCACCAGTAGTGCAATTAGAATACCTTACTTTAGCCGCTAAAAATTAAATTAAATTAATAGTGATGTTAGTTTATACTAGTTTACATTGACAAGCAATAGCAGCATCATCATAATGATAACAAGAATATCCATTGAGTCCATTCATAGGACAGTCCCAGAGAGAAGACTCTGTCCCAGTACAGTTAAGATCATTAATGTGAATATACCATGTTCCTTCGGCATATCCATATGTCATCGCAGAAGCACCTAGTAAGAAGAAAAGAAAGTAAGGACAAAAGAATGTACTTATAAAATATTTAATAACTTGTTACCATAGGGAGAATATCCAAGCATTCTACACACTACACTTGCATCTTTCTCATCCCAAAAGTGATCACAAATTGTTCCCCAGGCATTATTCACACACACTTGAACTCGTCCATATCTCCTGAAATAGCTACCTGAATCACTGTATAGACGAACAGTACCATTGGCACACGGAGCTACATTGATACAACTAGCAATGAAGAGTCAATAATTTAGATAATAAGCACCTTCACATTTGACTCCAACATCATAAGTATGCGAACAGTATGATGGTATTCGTGGAGAATAGGAACAGTTAATTAGATGTGATTCCTGTCCACTACAATGAGTTAAAGACATCAGTATAGGACCAGAGCCTTGTCCAAATTTACTAGCTGTACCAAAAGCAACTGATCCTAAATGCTATGTAAATCAGTTGTATTAGATCTATATGTACTTTACCTAGCTCCATGTGTCCTGCTTGCCTACACACAACATTACTGTCAAGTGTATCCCAAGAGTACCGCCAAGGCCTAATACTGTCTCTTCTACTACATACAGTTCCCCATACTCTATTGATGCATATTTCTACACGTCCTTCATACTGTGTGTTACCATTAACCAGTCTCACTTCACCTTCAGTACAATCATCTTTAAGTGTATGAATATCTTGATTATAAAATAACCAGGCTATAATGTAAGTCACAATGCACCATACAATTTTACTTTGACATGATATAATTGCCAAATGATTATCGGAGCAGTTGTATCCAGTTAGCCCATTATAAGGACATGAAAACAAGTTGTTTTCATTTCCAGTGCAATTCACATCAGTGATATGGTGGGGCCAGACAATGTTTGTAATTAAACCTGAGCCAGGTACACCAATAGCTCCTGAATTACAATAATATTAATAATTATGAATAATGTAAATACAATGATACTAATACATTTATTTGACATGAATTTTATTATTAAAAACAAGAAAATTTAATTATTCATTAATTTTTATTATTCATTAATTAAAAACAAGGAAGTGTACGACAAATAACAAGGAAAACATACCATACGGAGAATAACCAAGTTGTTTACACACAACACTAGCATCATCATTATCCCAGTAATCACTGCAGATAGTACCCCATGTTTTATCAACACATACTTCAACTCGACCATTAGCAATCGATGTACCACCAACAAGACGAATACTACCATTTTCACATTTTACTAAATATATATAAATTTATACATGGTAGGTATTAAATTGATGACTAACATTCACATCTCAGTCCTATATCATAAGAGTGACTGGTACATGTTCCTGAAGCAACTGATGGTTCATTTCTACTGCAATCAAAGAGTGTGTCTTCATTTCCATTACAATACATGTAACCAAAAACAATCGGTCCACTTCCTTGACCATACAATCTATACCCACTTACTGAACCTAAAGAAATGCACATCAGTATAATTTATAATATTTGCATTATCAATTGCTGTAATGGTTGTGTCAATATACCATTTTCTTGGTGTCCTAGTTGTCTACAAGCAACTTTGCTATCAGCAGTATCCCAAGCAATACCACATACTGTACCCCATGCTCTGTTCACACACACTTCCAGTCTCCCTTCATTACTAGTAGTTCCACCAATCAGTCTAATGTCTCCAGCCTCACAGTTAACCGGCTGAATAGTACCACCTAATAATGGGTAATAATTATAAGGATATTTAATTACTATTTACTTTGACAAATAACTCCAGCATCCTCATAACCAGTGCAAGTATTAGAATCAATGACTTCATTATGAGAACAGTTCCATATATTAGACTCAAGACCAGTGCAATTTAGATCAAGAATACCATAAGACCAGTCATAGTCAGTGAAATAACGTGTCAATGGTGTAGCACCTTTAAAAGAATAATTATAATTAAGACTTCTACTTTGACTTACCAAAAGGTGAATATCCCAATTGCCTACAAGCAACTGAAGCATCTTCATAGTCCCAGTAGTCACTGCATATAGTAGTCCATACTTCACTAATACACACTTCAACTCTGCCATGTCTAACTCCACCACCATTCAATCTCATTAAGTCATTAGTACAAGGAGCTAGTCAATAAGGTATGATAATTCTAGACAGTCAAACAACTTACCTTCACATTTAACAGCAGCATCATTATAATGAGTTTGACAGGAAGAAACGGTAGTAGTTTGATAATAGTCCTTATGACAAGATAATAGGTTAGTTTCATGTCCTAAACAGGAAACATATCCTAATAGAACAGGGCCATTACCTTGAGCAAACCCTGAGCAACTACCAAGATTATGAGTGAACCCTGTTAAAATATAAATTCTAATAATAACATTGATTTTAGTGCCAGCAAACCTATTGTCAGAGCCCCAATCTGTTTACAGACTACTTTAGCTGAACTATATGACCAGCTACTACTAGATGTACTGCGGCAGACAGTACTCCAAACTTCATTGATGCATACTTCAACTCTTCCTTCATATTGTGTTGTTCCTCCAGACAAACGTACATCTCCCTCCATACAGTCACTTTGTGTCACCTCATTAAGAGCTAAATTTTAAGAATAAATACTTAACTTGTTATAAAGACACTTACGTTGACAAAAGACATTAGCGTCGCTGTCAGGAGAACAATTATAGCCAGCCAGACCGTTTTGTGGGCAAGACAGTATAGTGGTTTCATTTCCTGTACAGTTTAAGTCAAGGATAGAATGTGATTGTGCACTAGAACTGACATATGATACCACAGATCCTATAGCACCTGCATGTAGAGTATATAAATTCAGTACAAAATGAAAATGTTATTTGAAACATTATCATACCATAAGGAGAATATCCTAGTTGCTTGCATACCACACTGGCATCATTATTATCCCAAAAGTCACTGCATATACTTCCCCAGGATCCATTAAAGCAAGCCTCAACTGCTCCATATGAAAGATTGTAATTCATCTAATAATAAGTATTACATGTGTATGATAGTCTAGTACAAAGTAGAAGAAAGGTGCTTACCAGTCTAACTGAGCCATCAGTGCAAGACTCGGTGAATTGAATGCTAGCTGAAAAAAGCAAAATCAATAAGACAAACTGCAACATTTCTTCCAAAATAAACAACATTGCTAAGCATGCAAAAATACACACCTAGACTATTATGATTGGGGCGAGCCTGAGCTCGCCCCACTCTAGCTATACTCTCAGTCACGCCCCGTCTGTCTGTCTGTCTGTCCTCGTACGTCACCCCTATTTATGCGTAGATCTAATACGGTAGATAGATACTATGCATTACCAATGCAATTTTCAATTTTTCATTGAAAGTGGGAGCGGTCACAGTAAAAGAAAAATGGCAACCAACACACTGGAAGAGTTCATGAGCTTTCTAGCAGCAATATAAGGCAGATACCTAGCAGCAATATAAGGCAGATACCGTCCAAAGACTTCCCCAGCAGCTATAGAAGGTTTTAAATTCAATTAATAACCTATGAAGCTCGTCTTTACTGATGCAATTGCTATAAAAACTGTGAAAGTCAATCAAGCTTTTTCTCAGTCATCTTAATATTGGATAATATTATATCTAAAGCTAAGTAAAGCATCTTTACAGACATTTATAGGCAAGAAATGTGTATGTGAAACTAGAAGACTAAAAGTTTATTAATTTTATCAGCAGCATTAAACTTTCATCATGTAAATCATGTTTGCTATGCCTAAATCATGATGCATGCTTTG